GAATTAACAGTTACAGGAGAAGAATCTGCCAAAGCGACCACTGAGCAGACCTCCCTCCAGAGAAAAGAAGACTGTCTGATGACTTGCACCGGGTCCACTTCAGATTGATTGAAAACCCACTCATTACGAGCCTTCCAAAGACACCACCTAACTGTGGCCGCCTTGCCCAATCACTCTTTACGATCCCGATCATTAGGACAACTCTTGAGAACTGCCTGAGTCCACTGTATTGCAGGAGAGGAAGAAGTGAACCCTGATAAATAGCCGAGATCACACCCAAACCACACAGGCCTAGTTCAATTACACTGAAATAGAAGGTGTTCAATAGACTCCAGACATGAACCACAGATAGGACAAGAAGGGGAAGGAGCACAATTTCGGCGATGAAGATTTTCTTTAGTAGCTAAACTGTAAGTACACTCCCTCTACCAGAAATTTCAGACTTTGAGAGGCACTGGAAGAGACCAGATCAGCTTCCAAAATTTTGCAGGTGGCTGAACTGAAGTAGAAGCCCATAGGATGCCCTTGACTGAGACTCCCGCTGAACACTCTGGTACCCACTTCTAACTTCGAAATTCTCATTTTTGGTGTGGTGCCAAACTAGAAAGTCATCTTGGTTAACTAAGGATATGGGAATGGTCATGATAGAGCTAGCTTCCTCACTTCCAACCAACTCTCTCAATTTGACAGAATCCCATTCCAGGAGATTTGGGTTTATTACCTCGCTGACCCTTTGAACGTGGCAGTCCCCTGGCTGAGGATTGAGAACTTGAAAATTATGGGACTGAGGTACCCATTTATCCTTCCAGAAAAGGATAGATTTGCCATTGCCAACTTGCCAACAGAGTCCCTTGGTTAAGAGCTCACGACCCTGAAGAATGCTAGCCCATGACCACGATGGCCTCCTGCCCCTCATTCTTGAAAGAAAATCTGAATGAGGATAGTAAAGTCCTTTTAACACCTTCGCACAGAAAGAGTGAGGATGCTTGAGGAGTCGCCAAGCTTGTTTTGCTAAAAGGGAAAGATTGAAGGAATGGAAATCTCTGAACCCTATACCACCTTGAGATTTTGTCCAAGCCAAACTAGTCCAGCTGGTCCAGTGAATACCTCTATCCAATGGATCAGCCCCCCACCAGAAGTTGCTGATGTAGGAATTAAGTCGCACACAGAATTTCTTAGGAAAAGCAAAGCAGGCCATAGCATAGGCCGGGATCGCTTGAATCACCGATTTAATCAAAACTTCCCGTCCTGCTTGCGATAGCAAATTCTGCTTCCAGCCTTGCATCTTGGTGACTGCCTTTTCAATCAAACAACCAAAAGCTTCTGACTTCGATCTACCCCAAAACAAGGGAAGGCCCAAGTATTTTGGCCCTTGGGTACTTGGAGACATCCCCAGCAAAGCATTGACTTCGGACTTCACACCTTCAGGTGTATTTGCTGAAAAGATAATTCCTAATTTCTCAAAATTAATCAACTGACCAGAGGCAAAGCTATACGCATCCAAAATTGCCTTAAGAGCCTGATAGTCCCTCCTATTTGCCTTAGCAAAAAGAAGGGCATCATCTGAAAAAAATAAATGAGTAATAGTGGGGCAGCCTCTTCGCATTGTGATTCCCGAAAGCAACTTCTCACGAAGCCCGTTGGACAGGGACAATGACAGACTCTCGACAATGAGAACAAAGAGGTAGGGAGACAGAGGGTCACCCTGTCGTAAACCCCGTGAAGGAACTACAACCGCTCGTTTTAGACCGTTTACAAACACTGAGAAAGAGACCGTGGACACTAACTCCATAACCCATTGAATCCAAACAGTAGCAAAACCCATCTTCCTTATTATTGCTCGCAAAAAGTCCTACTGAACACGATCATAGGCTTTATTGAAATCAATTTTGACCGCCATTTCATGCACAGCACTTCGTTTCTTCAGCTTCAAGTGATGAAAAGCTTCATGGGCCACAATGATATTGTCTTGAATCAATCTGCCAGGAACAAAAGCCGACTGTTGAGGCGAAATGATATTCTGAAGAACTGGTTTGAGTCTGTTGGGCAGAATTTTAGACACAATTTTGAGCTTGAAGTTGCACAAACTAATTGACCGAAACTGTGAAAGTGTCTCGGGATTTTGGACCTTTGAAATTAGCACTAAATTGGTGTGGTTCCACTCCTTGAGGAGGTGACCAATGGTAAAAAACATTTTGATTGCCTCACAGACATCTACACCCACCACATCCCAGTATTTGCGATAGAAAACTCCCGAATAGCCATCTGGCCCCAGGGCCTTTAAAGAACCAAGTTGGAAGCCAGCAGCTTTGATTTCCGAGTTAGTGACTGGTCTGGTTAACCTCCGGTTCATATCTTCAGTGACAAGATGCCCCATTACTGAAAGAGAATGAGCCAAATACCTTGCCTGATCACTCTTGAAAAGGGTAGAGAAATAGCTAACCAAATGAGAATCAATATCCGCATCCGAGGTTAACCACATACCATTTCCATCTAACAATTTTACCAACTGATTTCGCTGCCTCTGCCTTCGTTGGGTAAGTGAGGCATGAAAGAAAGAGGAGTTATGATCACCACACTGTAGCCAACGAATTCATGACCTCTGATGCAAGTACATCTCTTCTCAAAGGAGGATGACTTCTAATTCCGCCTGAACTCCTCTCTGGGCTTGATCATTCTCCACCGAAGAAGGTTGAGCTTGAAGATGTGCTAAATGGCCCTTTAGAGTATTAATTTTCAACTTGTTATTTCCAAACTCTCTCAAACTCCACTCTTTCAAGCCCCAACGACAACTAGAAAGCTTTTGGCTCAGACGAAACATAGACGATCCAACCTAAGGACACTGCCAACTGGCTAAAACAACATCTTTACACTCCGGAGATGTGGTCCACATCGACTCGAACTTGAACAGTCTAGGGACTTTCTTTGGAGGGATACAAAAGTTAAGGACTAATGGACAGTGGTCAGAACCTAAGAAGGTTTCATGGATCACTTGGGCGTAAGGGAACATCTCTCTCCACGCTACTGTGGCAACTGCCCTATGAAGCCTTTCACTGACTTTGTCCGAGCCATGTTGATGATTCGACCAGGTAAAAACCGACCCGTTAAACTCCAAGTCCAGAAATGCACAGTCCGATAGCACTTTTTGAAACTTTTCGATGCGCCTAGGACTGGGCCATGCTCCGCCTTCCTTTTTCCAAACAGATCCAATCTCGTTGGAATCACCAATACAAAGCCACGGCCTGCTGTTCTCACTGGCAATGGACCGCAAACAATCCCAGAAAACATCTCTCAGCTGGGGACGTGAAGGTGCATAAATAAAAGTTGCTAACCACTCCAAACCTGGGCCCGAAATAACACACCTAATCAGATTAGGATCCTTGAATCTGATATCAACATCCACCTCATTCGTCCACCATAAGGCTAGACCCCCCGCCAAACCCTCGGGCTCCACATAGCAACTATTAGGAAAATGCAAACTCCATCTAATTCTTTCTAATCTCGATCTCCGGTTCTTTGTCTCCATTAAGAAAACAATATCTGGGCGATGGGTTGTGCACAACCCTCGGAGGATCTGGACTGTCAGGGGTCGCCCAATCCCCTGACAGTTCCAGCTGATTATTGACATAGGGCTTGTGGCTGTTGAGGGTCAGCCACCACCACCCGTGTACCATCATCCAAGGGGCTCTCCATGGGGTAAGACTTAAGAACTTGAAAGCACATGATAGACTCAGCCAAAAACCCAAAAACATCTTTGTGCACTGCAACATCCACCAATTTCAACCGTGGCGAGGCCTTAGTCTTCAATGTGGCCTTGTTCTTTGACGGCCTCCCTCTCCTCCCGTGTCTTGGGGATGTTGCCTTTTTCAACCACATGGACGGGGGCTAAAGATAAGGGAGCACTTGATAATCCAGCTTAAGGGTTTTCGGAGGGGTAGGGAGAAGGTAAGTCTCATAAGAAGCTTTCCTCTTTAAGGATAGCCCAGTAAAGGCTACGGATAACAAGCCTTCGGGAGCATCTGGACAAAGGGAAATAGAGATGGGCTTGGAGGGAGGGTTGGGTGAGTCATTTTGAATTGTGGAAAGGGTGCAACTAGGGAAAAGGCCTTGTGGGCTAATTTGAGAAGTAGGGCTATCAGACGGCTCAGTTACATAATAGGCAGGTTGACTTGGGCTTTGGCTTCACACCATACTATTGCTAGAAGGGATGGGCTTAGAGGTGATATTGGGCCCCTGTGTAACCATGTTAGGATGGGTTTAAGGGGCTGGACTGCAGAAGTATAAAGCTCCTCACTCATCAAAGTAGAAGGGCCCAAAGTCATTACCTTTGTTCTATCTTCACTGGTACCTCCCCCTGGTGTAGAAAAAGGCAAGACAGGTGTCACCATAGAAGGCACTACTACTGCTGGCTGAGAAGGTGGAGGCAGAGGAGATCGTGGTTCCACTGTTTTTGCAGTACTAGCCTGACCAGTCTCTGATGGCCCGTGCACACCACTCCTACTTGCCGGAATCAGAATCCTCTTCTGTGAGAGGATGGGTCAGAGGTGATCTTCCAAATCATCTATCTGATCACGATAATATTCAACCGCTAAACCCAAATTGCTGGCCACTCCTGTTCTCAACTCAGGGCCATAACCAAATAATTTTCCGACCTCGCGGGTTACAAACTTGCAGGACTTATTATCATGGCCAATTCTTCCGTAATCATAACAAAAATCTGATAGACGTTCATACTTGAACTCAACCCACAGATCAGTCTTTCCTGTCGAATCTGGCTTTTGTCTTTTGAGTAGAAAGCCTCTAGGGAGGGGAAGAGAGGTATTGACTTCCACTCGTATCCTCAGGAAACTTCTTGCTAGTAACAAGCCATCAGTAGGGGCTTCAACTCCAACCAACTTTCCAATAGTTTCAGCGATAATATGCCTGTTCCGACGCGTCATTTTCTCCATAGGGAGACCATGAACTTGTACCCAGAATGGAGAATAAGTGAAATCCACCTTCCGAGATAGCCTTACCAATCTGCAGAGGTTGCAGAACCAGAAGATTTCCCATAACTGACCAAGGGGCAGTTCTTAAGATTAGAGCTCTGTCCTCTTCATCCCCAAATTTGAACAAATAAACATTATCGGGCCAGGACGTAATGGACACCACTGCTCGTGTTTTCCAAGCCCCCTGCAGAATTCGATAAACCGCTTGCTTATTCAAAGCTTTGGAGGTAAGAATTTTCCCAATAACGCATAATGAGGAGTTATCCTCGCACTCATCAGTGCCCTCTTCAAGTTCCAGCGTGACTAAATCGTGGCCCCTAGACGGATCAGCCGCCATTGTAGCTTTCGGACTAATAGGGCTTGGAATAGAAACCAAGACCTGGAAAAGATTGAGATGGAAAGTTATGGAGAAGGAAGGAAAGAGATTTAGGTAGAGAGATGGTTTCTGCTTGGGTTGAGAGAAAGGGAGGGCAGATCAAAATGGGTGAGGGCCAATAAAATTGTGAGAAAGAAACTCCAGAGACCTGGGATAAACCCAAAAAAGCCCTAGGTGTGACCTAGAGAGAGAAGCTCTCAGTTAGAGAGAGAGACTTCCCCACGAACCTTGTTTTAGTAGTTTATACTTGAACAACTATTTTTTGGTTCGAATGTTTATATTTGAACATTTGACTTGTTCATATAAGTTTATATTTGAATGACATAAACCTGTGTATTGAAATTTTTTGAGACGTGCGAATACAATTTTTCAATTGGAAATGGTCCATGCCTTTTTGAATGGACTATTTTTCTCTTAATTTCTGTTAAAATTCTGAACAAATGTTATGAATTGGACTAAATTTCACACAACATAAAAAATTGAAGGAAAAAAAAATGTTTGTGTATAAGAAAAATATAGGGGAAATATCACATCAGTGGTATTTTAAAAAAATAATTACAAATTAACAAGAAATTTTATAAATATTATTAATTAAAATTATAAATTTTTTCATTATTTTTTTTTTTTATTCTACTGGGGTGTAATTATACCAAAAATATAAGCACCAAGAGTCAAATTAAGGGACAACGGAATAATTTATCCATAGGAAAAATATAAGCACCAACACTTAGAGAATGAAATAAAGTGGGAACATAAGAAAACTAAACTTAAATATAACAAAGCCTAATCTAATCCACCAGCATCAATCCAAGGAGTGTGTTTATAAAAGCTGTCTCCTAGCGAGATTGCAAGCCGGCTAGTTGCTGATATGATTGGGTCATCTTTTGTTTGTTAAGGCCTATTGTTTCTTTCCTTTCTTTGTATTTACTTCCCATGGATAAATAAATAAAAAATAATACTGAAAGTTAGTCATAATAAAAGCGTTGTTAAAAATAATTTGTGTGTTTGGTTTGTGTTTTGAGATAAATTTATAAAAAAAAAAATTGGTGAGAGAGTTTGAATTTTTTTTGGTTTGTTTGGTTATATATTTTGAAAAAAGTTTTAAAGTTTGAGAGTTTGGTATGATTTGATATTTTGTTGTAGTTAAGTAGATGTGTGTGAGTGAAAAAGTGATTCAGAAAGAAAGAGGAGAGAGAAAAAAGTGATTAATTGATGTGTAGGAGAGCGAAAATGATTTTAGAAATTTTTTTCAAAAAATTTGAACCAAACAAAATTTTAAAAAATTGTTCTAAAAAATTGTATCTTGAGATACAAACCAAATAAGCCTAATATTTTTGTGATGATTTTTTATTTATTTATTTTTTTTTGTATATGTTACTAAAAATTGAAAATTAATAATTTTTTTGTAACAATTTTTTCAAACTATCACTAAAACTTGTAGTTAATGACTTTTTTTATGAGTCGAGAGGCTTAGGGGTTGGTTGTATGGATGCGAGTAGTTTTGGTTTGTTTGGTTATATATTTTGAAAAAAAATTTAAAGTTTGAGAGTTTGGTATGATTTGATATTTTGTTGTAGTTAAGTAGATGTGTGTGAGAGAAAAAGTGATTCAGAAAGAAAGATGAGAGAGAAAAAAGTGATTAATTGATGTGTAGGAGAGCGAAAATGATTTTAGAAATTTTTTCAAAAAATTTGAACCAAACAAAATTTTAAAAACTGTTCTAAAAAATTGTATCTTGAGATACAAACCAAATAAGCCTAATATTTTTGTGATGATTTTTTATTTATTTATTTTTTTTTGTATATGTTACTAAAAATTGAAAATTAATAATTTTTTTGTAACAATTTTTTCAAACTATCACTAAAACTTGTAGTTAATGACTTTTTTTATGAGTCGAGAGGCTTAGGGGTTGGTTGTATGGATGCGAGTAGCAATAGTAGGGGTATTTTTATACTTCCAAATCTCTCTCGATGCATCTCATCTTCCTGTACTTTTAATTTCATGCTGTTAAATAAAATTTTTCTTTGCTGATAAAAAAAAAAAAGACTTTTTTATGAAAATTTTCAAATTGTTGCTAAAAATTAAAAATTTGTGACTTTTTTTTAATAGTGTTTGATGAAAAATGTCATTAATTATCACATAACTTATTAAACAATAAATTCACCTATTAGAATCTACACATAAATATCACAAAAAAATAAAATAAAATAAAATACATGCTTCTGTTTGGCAAAGAATGGGGCACTAGTGTTTGATTTTCCAAAATGCCCATTTCCTCTTACTTCCGTAGATTATTAATACTTCTTTATGTAATAATTATAGAATTATTATAAGAATTTCTATCAACACGATAACTGAGAAATGATTTGAGAATACAACAATGCTACAAACCCTCAAAAAACACAACCCCCACAACCCTTACTCACCTATGATTGGTCCAAGAAGGAAAGACAAAAAAAAAAACACATGATTGGTCCACATCATTTTGGGGGTCATGGAATCCCCAACTTTGGGGGTCCCGACCATTTTTGTTGTGAATATGCATGTCATTCCAGCTTTCATTGAAAAATAATAGTTACTTCATAAAATTCTGTCATGTTTGGTAGAAATCATATTAAGTGTGGTGCTTGTAAGTTTTAGTAACTACATACAGAAAATTGATTTTGTAGGATGGCAACAGTTGCTGGGGGTGCTATGTGTCACGACCCAAACCCGGCCCTGTGGGTTTAGCACCGCAACCGGCCAGTAATCCGAGATTACCAAAGGCCTGCAGAACAGTAGTGCAGTAAAACAGAGTACAGAGCCTGGCGGAAGCCAATACAGTAAATGAATAATGTCCCTTGAGCTGTGTCAGTCTGTATGCCAAAAAGATTTTTCATGCATTCACATATACAAACCACATATACAAACAGTACAGTCTATACAAAATTTACAGTCACACAGTACAGGGACCTAATCCCTTGATAACAGTACAGTAAACATTCAGTTAACATTCAGTTAACATTCAGTCTATACAGAACAGTGGACGGTACAGAAGGGGGAAAAACAAGACACCCCAAAGCTATAGCATGGCAACTCGGAACCTCGTAGTGAGGCACAAAGGCTGGCTTGACAAAACTAGAGTCTAACCCACGCTCCTAGCTCCGATCTGGTGGCTGAGCACCTACATATATATATAAACAGTGAGCTAAAGCCCAGTGAATAACATAAAGCGTAAAGGGGTTTAGAATGAATGTCCTTACAGTAATGAAAACAGTTCAATTCAATCAGTATTTCAGTCGTTCAGTACAGTAAACAGTCATATGTGGTACATCCATTAGCATAACAGTAACAGTAGGTCTTAAAAGACCGAACAATAATGATGGCCATCAGTCAGTGAACAGTAGTGGTTCCACAAGGGAACCGACAGAGATCTCTGTAACAGTAACAATACAGTAAACCGTAGGTACTAAGGATGCCACAGTACAGTTCAGAAATAAAGGACATACATTCATTCAGTAAAATCCAGTTCAGTAAACAGTTCAGTTCAGTATTCAAAAGATAATCAGTTGAACATATCTCAGTAACAGTTCAGAAAGCAGTACAGTTCAATTGTTCAGAAGATAATCATTTTGAACATATCTTTACACAGTTGTTACTCACAGAGTTTGCGCTACAGTATGCTAGAGCGTGTCTCCCCAGTCGCCAGCCCTACACAGTTAACAGATTGAACACACACTAAGCTACACAGTTGGGAAAGATTAACAACTTAATCCCTAATGTCTCGGCGTGTTCTACATCTATATCCGCAACAAGATGTCTTAAACTAGGCTTAAGAACGCCTAGAATGGGATCAGGATGCAAAGATGCACATTTAAAACATTTTCAGAAAAACAGAGTCCCGTTCGAGCGCAAGTTTCCCCGCTCGAGCGGTCATGAAACAAAGGTGCACGCTCGAGCGTAAACTTTCCCGCTCGAGCGTACTGTAAAAGTACTGGATGGGTGAAATCTCTGCTCGACGCCCGCTCGAGCTTGAGACAAGACTTCGCTCGAGCGCCCAATCCTCCGCTCGACGCTCGAGCGGACTGTAAAACAGTGCAGAGAGATGCTGGATGCTCGGATTCCACGCTCGAGCGGAACTTACCCCGCTCGAGCGGAAGTGCGAAATCTGGAAAACCCAGATTGCACCTCCAAGCTCAAACTCAAGTTTAAATGCATCAAAACCGATCCTCTTGGGCTGAATTTCCAGAAAACACTTGCAAACATGTAGAATATCATAGTTCAAAGCTCAATTTGAGAAGTCAAAGCCCAAGGGTGTTTAATTCAAACCCAATTTCAAACCAATTTCAAGAACATTATGAACATGCATGATCTTAAATCATTTTCAAAGCTTTAATGCTGTCTTAAAAGAGCTCAAACCTTCAAAAACAAGATGAACTCATAGAGTATGACCAAAAGATGGACATGCATGTGAGGTATTATGAACTACAACCTCAAAACTTCAATATATGTACATGCATGCAACAATTAAGCTTCAATTCAACAACAATGAACCAATTCATGACTTAGTTCTACAATGAAGCATGAATCGTGCAAGAACAACTCAAGGACACCATTAAGATGATGAATGATCTACCTTAGGTGTAGAATTAGAAGTGAGGGAGCTCAAATAGGCAGATACACTTCAGTTTCAAGCAATTCTTCAAGTTGACTAAGCCAAACCCCCAAGAACAATTCTATTCTCTCCCTCTCTCCCTCACTCAAGGTCGGCAAGAACAAGAAGAAGGCCGAGGAAAATGTTTTTGGCTCAAGTATAGTGAGCTCAAGGTGTAGAGGTAGTGGCCCACTCAAGGGCAAAACAGTAATTAAGTCTAACTCTTTAATTAGCTTGTTTTAATCTAATTTAATCATACCTAATCAGTTTTCAAGTAAATACACCATAAACTCACATTAATTATGACGATCATAAAACATTAATCGGTTCCGGATTCGGCCGCCGATAAGGCCTTCAATTAGTAGTTTAAGCATATAAGCATGAACAGATAATCATACAGCCAAACAGATAGAATGCAATTTAACTAACATATACTCAATCAATTCGGTTTCCAATTTCAGTCAGTCAGTTCAGTACTTTTAATCAGTTCAATCATCAGTCATAATCAATTCAGTTTAACGATAATCGATGGTTATCGGTAATCAATCTGTCATTAATCGGTAAACAGTATGAGGGTTGTTACACTATGTCTGTTGGAACTATCGCCGTCAAAGAGGCATATAACTGCTTTAAGCCCCACTTTGACTATGTATGTGATTTGGACGAGAATTATGAGGAGCTCATCAATGAGTCAGATGATCTTTCAGAAGTGAAAAGAGATACGGAGACACATATAAGCCAGAATATGAGTGCAATGAAGATAACAAATCAATGCAGAAATTGGTTTCTTAAAGTGAGGAGGACTAAATGGAAAATTGAAGATCTTAAACAAAGATACAAAAAAGCCAACAAGTGCCTGTGTGGAATGTGCCCTTTCTAGAAGCTCCGAAAGCTTAGCAAAAGCATTATTGACACAACAAAGGAAGTGGTTAAGCTAAGGATTGACATGAACAAACTAAAGCAACATGACAATGTAATGACTACGAGACCACCACCTGTTGCTACCAACATTGTTGAGCTGAATTCACTCACTAACAATGTACAAAAGCTACTGAAAATCCTAGATAAAGACTCGAAGAGGATTGGCATTTTTGGAATTGAAGGAATAGGCAAAACAACTCTATTGAAGAAGTTACATGTAGAAGCTGGGTAAAAACATAGGTTTGGCATTGTTATTTTGGTATCTTGTCAGAAAAATGACAATGTAAGAAAGATACAAGAAGATCTTTTGAGGCAGTTGAAACTACATGTGAATGGAAGTGTTAGTAGGAAGGAGGTTGGGGGTATAATTTCTAAAATACTAGAAAATAAGGAGTGATCAAGTTTTTCATGTGTTAATCTACATGAAGTGGGAATTCGTGATTGCCATAAGTATGGTAA